ACTTCAACAGCGCAGTAAGGTGTACTCTTATGAACGAACAATGTGATTATTTTATGAGAAAATGAGAATTTGAAAAAATTAAATGTTCGGGGTGAAGTCGAGTTATGAAGAAGCCTCTTAATTAATTTGAAGTGAATACGAAAGTGGCATAGTTGAAAATCTAGCAATTGTTAAGCGGAAAACACTAAAACTGCGGAGAAAATATGCGCTTGAAATTGAAAACAAAAAAGCTTTCACTTCGGCTGTTTTGAACTTAAAATCCCCTTATAGCATATTTTATGGCATAAAAGGTTAAAAAGAGATCTTTATCTTGATTTTGGTCGATCAGTTGGTATGTCAGCTATATGACATAGCGGTCTGACGTAAAGATGACTACTACTCGAGAACACTTTCGACTGCGCGTTGGAAGCTTAGAAAACATTATATATAATTATAATATTATATATAATAAAATATCGATCCTTCCACCGCGTACAATCCTGCTGAACTCCTTAATTCCACTTAACTTCATAGGAGCACCCTTCATAAGTGAAATATTTACACAAGCTCAGTCGTAGGGATAATATAATAATAAAAATAATTTGCACTAGAATGCAAAATGGCTCGCCAAGTGGAAAAATAATCCGAGAAAACTAACCCACCACTTGCATATACTTATACATACATAAGTATGTGTACTCCAAACAATTTTGAAAAGTGCAAGAGAAAAGTTTCCGATTACGCAATCTGCATTACACATAAATCAGCATTTCTTATCCCCACTTGCCAACCCCGCACATTACACTGCACCCAATATATGTATGCATGTATATACATTTTTACACATGTATACTGTGTTTGAAGGGGGTGTGCGGAGGAACAGAAGTATAAATAAAGTGATGCATGATAATTGACTAAGTGCGGAGCGAATGAGTGGGCGTTGAAATACAAACAATGACAGTCACAAAAATAAACTAATGCATGTCATACATACATGTACATACACAAGCACACACTTACATGTGCATGGGAGTGTTGGTTACAGCTTGTCGAGTAGGGTTGTGTTTGGCTGGGCAGGATGTAGTGTATTCATAATACGTGCATTATTGGCTTTAGGCATGGCATATTAAGGCCATTCGACTTTTTCTCGGAACATCGAAATCAAATAAAAGCTCATGCTGTTTGCTGCACTTAATTTGCGCTATTATCGTAATATTTTACTGAATTGTTTTAAAGTAAAAGTTACGCCATGTTTTTCGCATTTATTTTCCTCCACTTTCTTTTAATTTTTGAAGTTATTATTTTTAATCAAGCAAAGTAAAGTTTTTGGTGCTTTTGAAATTATTCGCTTGGCTTAAAAGTTTGCTCAAGGATACTTGTTAATATAGTAGGGTACTAAAAATTCGAATTTCAAATCAAAAATGTTAATTTCTTAGTTTTCAGTTTTCGATTTATTATTTTAAAAAAGTTTCAATTTTAATTTTTTTATTAAAAGTTTTAACACCATTTTTTTGTAATTTAAAATGTAAAAAATTCGAATATCAAATCAAAAAAATTTTATTAGATTTCAGGTTCGAAATTTTAAAACTTTGTTTTAAAAAAGTTTTAACTTAATTTTTTTT